ATTCATATATAAAATTTATTACAATATAATAACAATATACATATTAAATGTAAAATAATTAATTATAAAATACAATATGCATAAATATATTAAACATGCATTTAGCAAACTCTATACTTGTGCATATATGTCATTATCAACACAAAATATTTGATAAATATTCATCTTAAAATTGATAATATACGCACTATATAAAGTAAATATTTTCACATCGCAATAAATTATAACAGAAGTGTATATCTTACAGCAATAACGTTAAATGTTATATTGCACCGTATATCAAAATTAATATTCAATTTACATGAAACAGATATCCCGTTATCAGATTGCCTTGTTTCGGATATTATTTTTAGCATCGTGAGAATTCGAAAACAGCACAGAACTGAATCATCGTTCTTTTCGTAAAGCAGATAACGATAAAAATTCGATAAATTGAAATCCTCTCCTTTCTTTGCAGACACAGCGAAACTTTAAGAATTCTTATCTATTTATGGCATTCGTTAGTAATTAAACGTAGATCGGTGACGATTTGCTACACCATGTTTTCAAGTTAATGTCAACTTCTCGAAAATCGAATGGTGTTTCACGAATTCCTTATGGCGTTCCAAGAGTCGCAATCGAACACGCAATATATTATTAGAATTTTATAATTATTAGAATTTATCACGATGGTGACAATAATGATTAAAAAATTGATTAAACGATAATAAATTATTGACGATTGTAAATTTATTTGAAAATTTGAATATGATCTATAAAAAAAATGTGAAATACATTAAGGGGAGATTGTTCTACTTTGGAGAATAAAAAAATTGATTTTATTTTACATTTTTCTTGCATCTTTAAAGTGTGTAGAATATGCCTGTAAAAGGATTTTGCAATATTCAAAATTTTAAAGCAATTTATGACTTGTTGAACTGGATTTTCGATTGAAAATCAAGGTATTACGTGCAAAACAAGCAAAAATCGAAAGAGAAAGGACAAATGCAGCAAAATTTATTCTTTAAACAGAAGGAGAAATTGACTTATAGACCAGGGCCTATATTCTGTAACTGTACACATCTACCGACAGTTGTCGATGTCGTTGCGCAATCTTTTTCATCATATAAAATATCTGCGCAACAACGCCGACAACTGTCGATAGATGTAAAGACGGAATTGCGCCTTAGGAATCGCTGATTAAATTAAGTTGCTGATTAAATTAAAAAATATTGTTAACAAAAAGTTATCATAAAATAAAACTTCAAACGCGTTTTTCTCGAATTCATATTTTTCAAATTGAGAAATGCACAGCTTCAACCAATCATCCAATTGACATAAAGTTTTTTCCTACAAAAAATAGGTAATTCCTAACAAAAATAGATAATTTTTATGGGGCCATGAACCTAAAAATGTCATAAATTTTCCAAAATAACTATTCCTTTGAACAGATTGAAAGTGAAAAAAAGTTCGTGAAAATTGATACTTAATTTTAAATGGCTGCCATTCTGTAAATTTTAAAATTTTTCAAATAAAATGGCACCACAAATTGAATACATTTAAACAATTGCATTGGTTTATTTGTCTCAGATAAACTGTCGACAGTCGAGATTTTCCGTCAATTGGCCACGTACGTGCTACACGCTCTGATGCACCCGTAGGCTACAGCCGTAATTTTCTACATTTCTAAAAATAAAAATTTTTTCTTGTATATTGAAATATAAAAAATATATTGCAAAAAGCATTATTTTGATATGTCTTTCCTTTCTTTATGAAAAAATTGGTAAAAAATACATAAATTATGAATCTCTAGACTAGAACCTCTCCTTAAGTATATAAATATAAGATTTTACTTTTGTCTCTCTCTTCCTATTTTTGTTTTTACTTTTATAAGCTTTTTTATTCTTTGTACAAACATACTTCAAAAAATTGTATTTAAAAGCGAAATTGTTTTTCAATCTCTTATGCCCATTAATTTATCTATCTTTATCTATCTTGAAATGCAATTATTTCTCTTACTTTTCATAGAATAATTTCAATTGTGAAGAAAGTAAGAACAGTTTTTTTCTTTATATTACAATCAATAAATTTAAAGCATTATTCAATATTTAGGTCGATAATATTTGCTTTTTATCTTGTTGGAAATTATAAGTGGTGCATATGCAAATAGCATCTAATCGAAAACATTCTTTATAGCTTGTTTTATTTCTATCGAGGATAAGTCTACCGTATGAATTCTGTGTAATGCGATTTAACGGACGCGTCGAAAGCGATGAGAAATGAGCACGGAAGAATTTTCAAGATGCAGCTTCTTTCGAATCATCTGTGCGATATTGTAAGAGAAAATTGCTCGCCATAAAACGTGATGTTTCGATAAATGCTTTGGAATTTATGACACAACTCGGTTATTGCAACACAGCGTCGAATACGTTAAATTAATTAATTGCAGACGAAAACTCTCTGTTTGATTACTCTTGCGATATATCAATTTTTGAAATGTTTATGGCTTTATATTATTGATTAATTATTATTAATTATAATTGTAATTATGAAACATACAAGCAATGTGCTTGAATGTGCATCGTCTTATTCAGAAGCAATGCCGATGAAAGCTTCTCATCGGTCTTCTGCCAATTGTGTGTCATCCACAGGGACAAAGTTGTTAATGGAAATTTATTTAATGTTGGATAACACGTGTAAACTTAGTTGACAAGTTTGAAGTGTTAAACGCGATCAATGAATGAAAAGCACGGGGCACACTCGTATATGCAAACTTCATAAACGATATCAGTTAAATGACGGTGTCGAAGTTCACTGTTCTATCAGACTATCAAGCCTGGTTTCATAATGCAACGTCCTTTAACGATATTAAACGTTAAACGTTACACACCATGTCGACTTCGATAAAAGCTAATCGATATAAAGTCTGCATGAAAAAAGCACAATATAAAATTATTTAAGTATTATAAGGTATTTTTAATAGATTTTATATTAGATATATGATGAGTGTAATAAGAGATATAGAGAGCTCGAAATTAATATAAAGGTCTCTCTGCATAAATTATAAAATAATATAAAAGGAAAAAAGGTTTGTCTGAAATATATAATAAATCCTCCAAAAGAGAAATCTTAAAAATCCTATTATAATAATTTTTTAAAGTTTTAAAAGGATTTATTCCATTAAATTGTACATAAATTTTTCTCTATTTTCTATCATTTAATTTACAAAATCACATTTATTAATATTCTGACTTTTTTCTAATAAATATGTGTTTTATATGAATACTCTGAATATATTTTTAGATTATATCATATTTTAATATTTCATGCATGTAGAAAAAACTCCATTTCCATTGTAAGTAAAAATGTGACATGAACTTTTTCGCCTAGTTAAAAATAGATTTGTCAGAATTTCTCATACGTGTACATTTAAATTAACCTACATATCTAATAATAAATTTTTTTCATTTCTCTCATTTTTATGAGCAAAAATATGCAAAAATCAAATGTTGAATTTTTGATATTTTTGTTGAAATTTAATATAACGTTTGAATATAACGTTTTTTCGTGAACAAGAAAGCAATGAGAGAACGCGGGCGGACTTACTCCGTGCGGATTTGGCGATGAAACTGAGCAAATTCTTGTATTCATTGGTGTCGGCTGTCTCCTGGTTGAAGCTCTTGTGCGCCGGTGTTTGATTGAGCGCCGTATATACGGCGCTCAGCGTGAAATGACACTCGGAATTCCCTTTACTGCTGGCCATCTCGTGATTGTGAAACAGTAAACCGCAGATTTTCCATCCAAAACTGCGTAGAATATGTCTGAGCGCCTCACCCACCAAACGATGAGAGCCCATCATCCTGGTTAACGTCGGATAATGCTGGCCCTTATGACGGAACGCTTCTGCCTGTGCACCCGCTGTTAGTACGGGTATACCCCACACACCCGCGTATCTTGCCACGGGCGCGATCACGTAATCGCACACGGGGCCCAGGAAAGCGTCTGTTGCGATCCGAGAAGAAGATTCGGGAAATTGATTTATCGTACTTTGCGCTAGTTTCGCTGAAGTTAGTCGGGAGGCCCATTGTGAGTGCAAAACATCACGAAAAGCTTATTTAAAATCGAGATTACCGTGAAATATAATCTTTTAAAGGTTTCATTACCTCAGTTTTAAGTCTTAAACAGTAAGAAATTGACTAATTATAGTTGATTATTCTTCTCATATTCAACCGTAAATCAATTTCTTATAAGACTTAAGACTTAAAAGTTAGGCAATGATTTATTGTAGAAAGCCTATTATGATTACTTGTATAATTACATAAATAATTCTTACATAAATAATCATTATAAATAATCAAAAGATTGAGCGCTTGTAAAATGTTCACGGAAAGAATTTTACTAAAGTATTTAAAAATATAGCTAGATATAGATCTAAGAATAATTTTGTTGAGTCATTAAATAATTACGGAGATTAGGAATCTTAAGCACGATAAGTAATGCTGCAAAAAGTTTCGACATTCGAGTAATTTGAGCGTCCGACATAATTATTTTGATGGTCCATCAACATTATTTTCAGATCTGTATCTTGCTAAATTTTTTAATGCTTTAGCAAAATCGTTCTTTCTATATTATATATTATTTCCTAAAGCGATTTGTTTTCCTTCTTCTATAGAAACAGGTCACCCAAAACTTACCGAAAGTTTAGTGCTTAAATAAGTATCGATCGTAATTCTGAAAGTCAGTTCTATGATTATATTTATAATTTATAATTTATCGTGCACGTGAACTTGCGAATCGTCTGTATGTATCATACAGTTTTAAGTATACAGAATCGAATCCACTCTCGTGCCAGCTATGATAGAAAATGTAACGAAATAGTATCACGTGAGCAAAATAGATAACACGAATCTGAATTTATGAATTCGAATATTGGCTCCGCGTTATAATCCTATCACTGGCGCCTACATGATTCGATATGTCGATAACAAGTGTACATTGTTTATCAAAGAGACTTGGTTGTACAAAACGTACACTTGTACGCGGATTATACGGTTAATTAACGTATCGATTCGTGGGCGCAATTAAATTAAACTGGAACATTTCGTGTTCGCCCACATGGCTTACTCGCTGAAGGTATACTTAGATTACACCGCAACCGATACGGACATATCGATGTAAATCTTCCTTTTGGGAATATGCTTTTAACGATTATTATTGAATGCCCAACGGATACATGACAATACAAAATGTTTCCGCGAAATAAATATCTGGCGAAATATACTTAATACTTATTATTATGTCAGCAGCATATTGCACGTGGAGTTCACAATTCCCTACGACACTAAGACTTGTTGGTCTTGTATTCATGTACTCATCACACATATTCATATATACATCATATATACATCATATATACATCATACATTCATATATACAATATGTTTTTCAAATGCAGGTGCAATTAAAATCTCGCCAACCTATATACCACGAGTCTGTGGTTAGCGAGGGAGAGCTCAACAATGTGGACATGTATACGAAGATAATAGAACGGCCGGTTAATTAAATAGATTGTTACTCTCCCGCTGTGCAAGGAACATTTATTGTCTACGGGATTTCGAACTAAAAGCGAATCAAAATTTCATTATTTTCTTCACAATACTCGTTGTAATTAGTAACATTCGCTTCGTACTAAATGTCGTACTGGCAGAGAAATGGAGAATGTTTCGTTAAATGAATTCTCATATAAAAGTTTATTCTTATTTGTGAAATAAATACTACGATAGATGGTAGTAAAGACGCACATTGATGCATTTAGCCTATTATTGAAATTAAAGCATATCAGTTTTTACAAGCAACAAGTTTCCAACTGTATTCTGTTGGTTTATTTGAACTCCGTGTTAATAATAAGCCACGCGACCTGAAACTAAGTTCGCGACCTGAAACTAAATCCTCGATTCCCGTGCGTTTATCCGCAAACAATACACCTCTATGCAATCGCGGTTCTAATTAGTAATTACGGATGATTTTGCGTCGATATCCAATTTCGTATCATAAAGATAAACATTACTGTGGAATAATCGGTCAGAACAACAGACACCTATGTTTAAAATCCATTAATTCGTACTGACAGCAAGCCGAATCCCCGTGTGTCCAATTTAGAGCTTTCAATCTTCATCGATTAAAGCTATATGTAATATGATAATAACTGCGTCAGGATACCTAGCGTCATTGTGGCTGCAAATTCCAGCGTGAAGCGGTTACGTCCGATTAACGCCGCATGCATCCCCAATGTCGCTGACGGCCCTGCATGTGGTCGCTTTTATCCGACGAGATCAAAGTTGTTGGAATTTATGGCAACTATATACGAAGATTCTCGTGGAAACTTATAAGACTCGATCATCGTAAACGGATCATGCATTAAGTCGCGCATATCTTTGTTAATATTTTACTTTTAACAGTATCTTACGTAATTTTTAATTACTTTCTTATACAATTTGTTTCACAATTAATTTTATTTATTATCTTAACGTTGATTATCTTACGTAATTTAATTTGGAGTTTAATTTTGAGATTTAGCGTAAATATAAATTCACACATCTAATTACAAAATTTTTCGTTAATTAAATTTCAAGATTAAATATTGACAAAAAAATTATATAAAAAGTTTGCGACAAACAATTGCTTCCCATTAATTGTTAAGACTAAATTGAGTTATTATATATCATTCTTATTACAGAGTTGTACTTGGTATATTTCTTATTAGCACGATACATACGTTATCTGCAATAATGTAAAAAAATATAATGTATAAAAACAGATTGTGCTTCAGTGTAAATCGTTTAATATAGAATGCACTTTTTAAAAGCCTTTTTAATATCCTATTAAAACTTTTCTTTCATCGGATGAATAAAAACTTGTTCCGCGCGAGGAACCTAAAACCTGAGAGCCTGAAAACGTGACTCGTAAATTCGACCGAAAATTAAGCCGCGGATGACGAAGTGCATTCCTGATGGTGATGAATTATTGTATTCACATGCCATATTATAGTAGGTATATTGCTAATATTTTCGTGCAGAGGTTATACAGGTATAGTTTTGCATAAATAAACGAGACATTTCGCGAATTTTACGATGTAAACACGCGCTTAATACAGATCGTGAAACGAATAAAAAGAGAATTTTATGAGTGTGATTTATTTATATCGATTTGGAAAGGAAAGATAAAATCATGAATAATAATTCTTAATCGATTTTTAAAACGTTCACAGCAACGAATTAAACGGTAACTACACAAATTAGTAGATAGATATTAATGATAAAGATATTTACGAGAAATATAAAAGTGTATATTACGTAAAATATGTTTATATTATAACAAATTAATGTATTATGTATAGCATAAAATTATTGACAACCATCAAAAAATGCAATAGGATTTTATTAAGATTATTTTCATATTTTATTAAAATTTGTTGTTTAGTTGAATTCTTATTTCTTAAGCTAAAAAAAATATGATGTATAGTATATACAACTGACTCAGATATTCTAAATTCTCCTCGTAGACCGTCGATACTATTATAGGCAGACTTATTTTTATCTTCGCAAACTTTCTCCAGATCCCCCATCCTTTAGATTCGAATAGAGCAACAAGTGTTTTGTATAATTATCTACTCTTTAAATTTTAAATACGTAGATATTCGCTGCAGAGGTGAATTCTGAGTTAAAGATAATCGAACACGTTCTATCTATGAAAGTCCCATCAGCTTTGGGGGTAAAGGCTATTCTCATCACGTACTGCTGACTTAGCGCGAAAACTCAATTTCATTATTACTTACTCAACGTCTACGTGATTTTTGTCGAGTGAGAGATAATATCATGAATCACCTCGTAATTACTGTCGGTTACCGCAATGCACACAAACCTCAGAGTTATTATATTATATTATATTCTTTTGAGATTACAGCGTAATAAAAAAATGTAGGTGGTAAATAATAAAATAACTTTTCTGATTTTGGATTTAGTGTATTAACAAAACCATCATTTCTTTATATATGAAATATTTCCGAAGAAATTAAATTTTGTTTAATTCGTAACATTCGTACATCATTCGTTTCACTATAACTAGGTAGAGAGATATCGCGTATATATATTTTGTTATAGTTGTTGTACTTTCATGATTGATTCTATAGTGTCCAGTGTGTACAGTATATATATTTTTTTATATGTACACACATATATATATATATATATATATATATATATA